ACTCTTCTAAAGAAGTCACAAAATCCCTCTTCATTACATCCCAAAACTCCTTAATAAAATTGAAATTCACACCATCTAGCTCGGATTCTTTGAGTTGTCACAATTTTATGTATGACCTCATCCATCCGGACACAATTTTATGATATTATAACTTTAATTATGTTAATTATTTGTGGTTTCATATTGTAAGAAATATTTTTATGAAATCCTTAATCCAATGTAAAATACTTATATTTAGTTTAATTAATATGTATACAAGTCAACATTCTACTTCACTACAATGTTTTTAAAATTAGGACACTATTTATAAAAGTAAAATGAAATAAAAAACTTAAGTGGACTACTTTAAAATAGATTTAGTATATAGGGATATTAGTTATATAATAATCTAACACTAATTTCAAAGAATAGAAATTGACATTTATATATAAGGGTATATTGGAAGGGTAATTTTTTTTTTAAGTAAACATTTTTTGTTAATCTTTTTTAAAAAGTGACAAGATGAAAAAGTATCATGTAACATTTTAATCATTTAATAAATCTATCAATTTCAAAATAAAAGTCATGTTTTTCTTTATTTTCTCTCAACTTTTACATCCTACAATATGATATCCAAAACATAGGTATGAACATACAATTGAATAAATAAAAGGTATGTTTATTTAGTTTTTTAAAAAAAAGTTTTAATTAAAAATTATCCTTGAAAATCATAATAACTATATATGTTCTTATAAAAATAAAATGTTGTAGTATGTTAAAAAATAGTAATTTCAAAAGAAAATGTTCAAAAGAAATATATTAAAATTTTATTATTCTTTTTATTTAAACAAATGAATTAAAATATATTAGAAATCATCCAAATTTTTTAATAACAGAGCATTCAAGACCCAAAGACAAAACTAAAATAATTTTACAAAAGTAAATCTTAAATTAAAGATATATACAAAAATATTTCACAAATATATAAAAATAAAGCAAAAATGTATTGAAGTTATAAAAATATGAGATTAACTTAGGTTTTTCAAAAATTGTTTTTCAACAAAAGTTTCTTAATTATGCAAGATTTGTAACACCCCAATTTTCATATTTTGAAACCTCTAAAATAACCAAAATCATAATATCTAACCAAAATAAGTTAAAATAAAATATATTTATATTTATAATAATTAATATAACAAACAATTTTATAAATCTTTCTTTAATCAATAAAACGCTCATAATTATTTAAATTTTTTTAATGTAATTATAAAACCTAGTTAATTAATTAAAATATTCTTTTAATAACATTAGAAAACTTAATTAAGATGTTAGAACTCTTCTAAAGAAGTCACAAAATCCCTCTTCATTACATCCCAAAACTCCTTAATAAAATTGAAATTCACACCATCTAGCTCGGATTCTTTGAGTTGTCACAATTTTATGTATGACCTCATCCATCCGGACACAATTTTATGATATTATAACTTTAATTATGTTAATTATTTGTGGTTTCATATTGTAAGAAATATTTTTATGAAATCCTTAATCCAATGTAAAATACTTATATTTAGTTTAATTAATATGTATACAAGTCAACATTCTACTTCACTACAATGTTTTTAAAATTAGGACACTATTTATAAAAGTAAAATGAAATAAAAAACTTAAGTGGACTACTTTAAAATAGATTTAGTATATAGGGATATTAGTTATATAATAATCTAACACTAATTTCAAAGAATAGAAATTGACATTTATATATAAGGGTATATTGGAAGGGTAATTTTTTTTTTAAGTAAACATTTTTTGTTAATCTTTTTTAAAAAGTGACAAGATGAAAAAGTATCATGTAACATTTTAATCATTTAATAAATCTATCAATTTCAAAATAAAAGTCATGTTTTTCTTTATTTTCTCTCAACTTTTACATCCTACAATATGATATCCAAAACATAGGTATGAACATACAATTGAATAAATAAAAGGTATGTTTATTTAGTTTTTTAAAAAAAAGTTTTAATTAAAAATTATCCTTGAAAATCATAATAACTATATATGTTCTTATAAAAATAAAATGTTGTAGTATGTTAAAAAATAGTAATTTCAAAAGAAAATGTTCAAAAGAAATATATTAAAATTTTATTATTCTTTTTATTTAAACAAATGAATTAAAATATATTAGAAATCATCCAAATTTTTTAATAACAGAGCATTCAAGACCCAAAGACAAAACTAAAATAATTTTACAAAAGTAAATCTTAAATTAAAGATATATACAAAAATATTTCACAAATATATAAAAATAAAGCAAAAATGTATTGAAGTTATAAAAATATGAGATTAACTTAGGTTTTTCAAAAATTGTTTTTCAACAAAAGTTTCTTAATTATGCAAGATTTGTAACACCCCAATTTTCATATTTTTTATTGAGAATAATTTAGTAATTTTCATAAATTTATAGGAGTGATTTAGTAGTCCAGAACGGGTTTCAAACTACTAAAATAATGGTGATTTAGTAGCCCAGAACGGGTTGTTCCCAAACTGAAACGGGTCGTTCCAAACTACTAAAAAGGCCTATAACCTAGTTGAGAACGGGTTGTTCCAAACATGGACTTTATGGGTTAAAATGCAACCCCAGAACGGGTCGTTCTGGTTTAAGAACAGACTGTTCTGGACGTGAATTTTACAAATAACGAATGAGTTCAGAAAGGGTCGTTCCAGATTCGAAACGGGCCCTTCCGGCCAAGCCTGATGCCTATAAATAGCACGCTCTAGCACTTCCAAAAGCACAATTTTCACTCCTGACTTCTTTTCTTCTACACTCTCTAAAGACTAAGGGGAACCCAAAGGAGGAGACCAACCAGATATCCTGCTTAGTTTCAGCTACTGTTTATCAAGGTACAGGGGAAAAAGGGAGATTTATGTGTAGAGTTACATGAGGGAATGGGTGGAGAAGAGTTCCTGTGGAATTTTTAATAATTTTATAATTGTTTCTGTTTGGAGAATTATTGGTATTATGATATTCTGTAATTGTTTAAGATTAGGAATATGTAATTAATTTGTAAAAATGATGGTCTAAGAGAGAGAACGAAATTATAAAAAAGTGCATGAGTTATGTTTTGAAAAAATTGGGGGTTTTACTAAGTGAGTTAGGATTCTATTAAATAGGTGATTCAATTGAGTATTATATTAATTTATAAATGTTATTGTTATATTATTTGGTAAAATTGATGATCTAGATGTGAATTCATGGTGAATTGCTTGAGGGGTATATGAACCACTATTTTGTGTGGACATATCTATTTTGTGTATGTGATGTGGAATTAAGTTATAGAATGTGGTGCGATGCCTTCACACAAATGTATACATTATATCTACTATTTTAGTATTGAATTGATAACATGATGTGGTGAATAGTATGTTATGACTTAATTGTTCAATTAATTATGATGTGAGTATGTTGACATAAAATGAGATGTTGTGTGGATTGTGAATGTGATGTGATTGTGATTCCTCATGCTTATGTCGGGGGTGGCACGACCTTGGGCAAGAGATGCTACAGGCTTGACCTTGGCATAGTGTAAGATGTGTGAATCTTCATTCTTATGTCGGGGGTGGCATGACCTTAGGCAAGAGATGTTATAGGCGTGACCTTGGCATAGTGTGGCATGTGTGATTTCTCATGCTTATGTCGGGGGTGGCACGACCTTGGGTAAGGGATGCTATAGGCGTGACCTTGACATAGTGTGGGATGTGTGAGGTAATTAACACTTATATCAGGAGTGGCACGACCTTGGGTAGGAGATGCTACAGGCGTGACCTTGGCATAGTGTGGGATGTGTGATTCCTCACACTTATGTCGGGGGTGGCACGACCTTGGGCAAGAGATGCTACAGGCGTGACCTTGGCATAATGTTGATTGCAAGATTTGTAATGAATTGGTGTGATTGTGAATTGTGATGTGAAGATGATGCATGATTGATAGAATTAGGATATATAGAAATGCTTGTAAATATTTCATTAAGTAATGAGTTATGTTGTGGTTTTTCCTTGTGTGCTTTACATATAGATATTTTCTTTTTTCACCGTACAATTTATGGATGTTTTAGGTGAGGAAGATCCGGCTATGAGTGACATCCAGAATGCCAACAGTTGAGTTGTGGGTGTGCTCTGATAGTGTGACATCGGGGGAGAGGATTTCTAGGACATAGATTTCTATATGTAGTTGGAATTGTACTAATTATTTTTAAAACAATTTATAAACTCTTATATTTTATTTTCTAATTTTTATTATTTTGAATATTGAAGAACATTTATGAAGATTCTCATGTGAACCCTTTTACCAATGTTAAAATATTTATTTCCTTAGTTTAATTACATTATTACGATATATGTATTGGGGTAGTAAGAGTGTCATAAGATTGATGATATACTCGCACAAGTTTTATCTTTAAATATTTAAATATATTCCTAAAAGAAATAGAAAGATGACAAAAGAATCAATAGTTCACTTGGAAATAATTTTGAAAATCAAATACTTGTAAATACCAATTTTTTTTATCAATAAATGTCAAAAAAAATTCAAGAAATATTAATTTTTGTTGAATAAACAACTTAAAATTAGGTCTCCTATTACATGGATTACTGAAAATAAAGTAGAATAGCACTTAGAAAATCCTTCCAAAATGTGCTTCATTCATCCAATATGGGTATTTTAAATCTTGATAATTAAATTTAATATATTTAGAAGATATTGTGACTAGCTAATGAAAAATTATTATAACTAGCTACTCTTATTGCAAATGAAGTCCTTTATAATTATGACATGGTTTGTTAGACAAACTTTGTGAAACTAGTTGCAAAATCTATTAGTTGTTTGAATTTTAGATCATAATCAAACGATAAGTTCATGATAATTATTATTACTCATGATGATTCTAACCCGTAAATAATTTCATAAGTTCTTTGAAGTGAATGGTGGCATATATGAAGCTCCAATATACATGTGCATTGGCATGTGATCAAACCTAAGTACCTAAAGGTGGCGGTACTGTAAAAAAATGTGGCATTTGATATAAAACCCAATATGTTAACAACATTGGCAACTGGTACAAGAAAATTTACAAAAAGAACAAGAACAAGAAAAACATTTGAACCAATTGCAACAATTGGTACTTAAGTTGGAAGTCACTTCAAATTCTTGTTTAGATGATTGTTGTTGAGGAAGATCCATCTTCACAGAATCATTTGTTTCTTCTTCTTTCAAACTACAACAATTCCAAATTGATTCAAATCAATGTGTTACTTGCAATTTGAGTTGACACTTATATAAATTCAAGACAATCGTAATGTCTTGTAACATATGCAAACATTAAAACAAATAATAAAGACATACTTATAATTAAAAAAAGCATGAGTAAATAAGGTAAATTAAATATTAAAGGAACCATGTGATAAAAATCAAAGAACAATTTCAAGTTGTCTAACTTGATGCTTAAATATTAAATATGAGATATAAATGAAAGGGAGAAAACATACATTGAAGAGGTGTGATGACGATGTTTTGTATGGTTAGTATTCCAACAACAAGAAAATGTCCCACAACAATTGTTACTCAAACTCAAATGGCAGAACACCCTGCTACAATTATAGCAATGCCATAATCTCCTTGAACGTTTTTTTCTGCAGTGCATAAAAAAGGATATTCTTCATTGATTGGATTTCACTATGAAATTTTATATAATTAAAGATGAATGTCCTTATGTGTTATCATACTATTAGTAAAATATGTTTGTCTATAAATGAGTTATAAAAGACACGTGTAAGATCTAGCTATAAACAAAAATAAACATGTCCACATGAACATATATATTTGCTTACCTAGTTCATATTTATAACATCTCATTGATATGTATATATGTGTGTATTATGTATATTATTAAATAATTAAAAGAATAAATAAACTCACATTGGGAAATCACTAGTGCTCATACCAGTGCCAATATTATTTGAAAGACAAGAAATAATGAATTTGGATGACTTGAAACTTTTAGTTTCATCTAAAGTCTCTATTTCATCATTAGCTTCATCAATCCCTTCTCCTTCTAACTTGAGAGATCCTTGCGATGTTTTTGTTGCTTGTAAGTTCTCTACAACATTCTTTAAAGTAGTTTCTATCTCTTCTTCTATAACCGAAGAAATTTTGTTGTTTGACCCACTCAATTTGGTCAAATCCTCTAACAAGCTTAATTCACCACATATAAGTGCTTTTTCTCTAGAAAAACTAGGTTGCCCTAGTTGAATACTAAATAATGAATCATTAGAACCAATACTCCACTCTAATGGATTAGTATTTGCTTCAAAGATTGAAGATGGAACCCGAGAAACATCATATCTTCCAGAACGATCCATCACTTGAGTAGGAGGACTTGCAGTTAGTGACAAACTTTTTTGGTTGTGGCTCAAATTGTAAACTTGATTTGTTGATGTTTGAACTAAAAGGTGGTTGTCAACTTTAGATTTGCCAAAACTTTCATCATTAGAAACATTATCTTTCTCAGATTTTGATGCTTGGATAGATTCATTAGAATTGGTATACTTAAATTCTTCATTTATTCTAAACAAATCATCTAATGGTGATTCTAATGAAGAGGGAGAACTTGATCTTCTTGAAGAGGAAGATATGCTTTTGGTGCTATTGATATGTGTGTCTGAATAATTACTTTTAGCATTTTCACCTTGGTTAATGACATTTATTTGCCTTTCAGAATCAATACTGCTTCCACTTTCACAAATTGAATCATTACTACTTGAATGATCATCCGTAGTTTCTAAAAATATTTTTGTTTTCTTGTCTTCTATGTTATGATCAAATGTCTCTTCATCCATTTGAACACTTTCTACTTCTTTTTCCTCACAAGTTTTTGAATGTGTAGAACTTAGTCTAGGATGTTCCAAATCCATTACAAATTTTACATTAGTACTTGACTTTGCATTGTTCTATATCTCCACATTTTTTGTGTCAGTAAATTGAAATGCAAGTTTGAAAAAATATTTCCAAGTGAAGGGCTCCAAATCTTTACTTTTCTGGAATTAAAAAAAACAAAATAATTACATAGAGAAAATAAGCAACAAAGTATTTCTAGATTATTATAGGCACATGTTTTTGTTAATAACCAATGAAGAAAAATTGAATTTCATGCCACGTAAAAAAATAAACTTTTGGATTTTTATATTAAATTTAACTCTTAGAAAAAAATAAGACATTTAGAATAATATATATTTTTGCAACCTAAGTGTTAAATCTTATTGTTTTCACATAGCATATCATCAAACAATATATGACAAAATTTTCCATGTAAACCCACCTTTCCTCTTGGATTGATAATCATATTAACAAAACATCTTGTGAACATTTAAAACTAATACAAATTCCAGACATTCGAAAGTCATTCCCTTAATCTAATTCCATTATCCATCTGCAACATATATTTCAACAATTCAAAGAACATACAAATTTCATCAATTTTTTTTTTATTATCTCATTATATCATATTAGGTTTTTTTACTTCCTTTCTCACATTATTCATCCAAAAATGAATCATGTTCCATTTTAAATACCCATTTTCAAAAAATTTCCCCTTGTTGATATACGTTAATTCATTCTTGAGTAAAAAATGACACAAAATAATAGGAAAAAACAAAAATTTCTAATGTAGAATACAATAAAAATTTGTAAACAAAGTACAATCGATAACCAAAAGTAAATAACAAAATTAGAATTTGCATCAAAATTTTAAGCATTAAAAACAAAAATTTCAGAGGTAATAAACCAAGTGAAAGATGTGTTCGATTAACTAGATTAGTAATGTACCTGGAAAATCATATGACTTAGAAAAAGATTTCATGTCCAGAACTTTTTGTTGTTTCTCTATGTTGATAATTGTCGCTAGCAACAAAAAAGTAGTTGAATTTGAAAGGTTATGGCAAAGACATGAATCACAATTGGGAATCAGAAGCCAAAAGGAAATGGGAAATTAGGGCTTTGTGAGGGGAATCAAGTGACGAAAAGTATTGAAACATTATAGAAATTAAAGTTTTCGATTCCATTCTGTGAACAACCAATTATTTGTCTGTTTAACAAATCTCTAACGAATATCGTTGACGACAACTAAAGGTATGTTAGGTAATTTCCAACACATGTATGACATACTTTCATTTAATTTCTTTATATAACTAATATTTTCATCAGTTTTAATTTATTTACTTTTAGTTTTATGAATATTTCATTGTATTTACAACCTTACATGAACTATTTTTTTTTTAAATGTAGTTTCATTTAATCAACATCTAAAATAGTAGGTTCTTATAAATCTTTTTTAAAATATTTAATGAGAAATTACGTTCTTGATCTTTTAAGTATTGCAATTGTACTATTTTGGTCTCAAAGTTTTAATTGAGATATTAATCCCTCAAGTATTGTAGTTGAGTGATTTTAGTTTCAAGATTTTAATTGAGTAATTTTAGTCCTTCAAATATCATAATTATATAATTTTAGTTTCTTTTATAAAAACTCTAATAATTTTAAAATTACAATATATATGTATATATTTTTATTTTTATTTTATTTAGTAATAATAAATATATACCGGTTGATACATGAATGAAAATTATAATATATGTAACTTAGATAGGTAAAATATGTATAATTATGTAACATGAAAATTATATTATACGTATAATTTTAAAACATTATATATATATATATATATATATATA